GAAAATGGCCCCGATGGAACTCTAGCCCTTTGCCTCATTTAATATGCATGGAACTGGGAAAATGCAAATTAGCCGTGCCTCGACTTCCACGACTCGTCTGGCTGCGGCCGCTCTGACTCCACTCAGCTCGGACACTTTTTACTCTTCAGTAATCAAACAGCTAATGAACCGTTGCTAATGTTATATCAGCTTTATTCCCCGTCCCTGGCTCTGACAAGTCCCAGTCTGCTAGATGGCACGACTGGTTCCCTCGGTATGCTACGCAGATACAGCACACCAGCTGTAAAGTAACACGTTCACAAACTAACATCTGTGCTTCGCCACATTCTACTTCAAGTAATTCTTCAAACAAACATGTGGAAAGGCAGATTTAAACTAAATATTTAAGAAACTTCCAACTGCTGTAAAATGGAAGTAGCACACCAAAATAAAGATGTGAGGACGAGGAGATCCCATATCTCACATTTTAGAGTCCTTTTGATGGTGAAAAGGTGTGGGGTCATTAAGTCATGGATCATTTATCAATGTGCAGGAAGAATTCAGACAAGAAGATTGGCAAAAAATTCATGATTGAACCATGTCTTACTATCAAAGAGACTCGGAGACGCTAGACAGCCAGCTGGTATTTATTTGCCATTTATGCTATCCTGAATATGTTGTTCAACACTGTCACATACATGATTGTCCTTTTGATGGATCCAATATTTAGTTGTGTGTGTATTCATTTAGATTCACTCTAAACTCTTTATTTTAACATAATTCGTTTGCTGCATTTTAAACATTCATAGTAACATCTTCCACAAATGTGATGAAATAGTAACATATTTCATCATCTATGTTATGGTTAAGTGTGACAGAAACATAGATTAGTAATGAGGTGGACCATCACCCGACCACCACCTGATATTAACTCAGAGTGATTCATGCAAACGCTATTTTATTGTTAATTTCATATTACACAATTACCTAATTCTAGTTTATTGCAAAGTCAAATAGCACCAGTAGGAAGTCGTAGCATATCCTGTGCAGACTGGAGCAGTAATCGTGATATTTCTTCCAGATTATCAACATATTAACAATGCAAGGGTTCATAAAACAGCATTTGCATGAATTTATATGATTTTAATGGCATTAAAGTGTATTTAAGATGGCTATAAGGACCAGTGGAACTGGCCTCACTAAGACTAACTATCACCTTGTCAAACTAGTGAGAGTTTCCAGATTTAGCTCTAGTGAGTTTGTGACTCAGCTGCTCAGAGTCCTGTAAGGTTTCCTTTGACAAGGTGAGACAGAACTGTAACTAAGACTAAAATGACTTTTGAGGATTTTGCGCATCTGTCTGGCTGCTGCGACTCCTGGCCCTTGTTGAAGCAAATGAAGTTGATTAATAATATCACCTATTCTTTTTAATGACATCAGGTTCCTGCTGTGACAATTATCCACACCTATGGTTCAGTGGTCATAGAAAAAACATTTATTTGGGCTTTTTCTGAGCCGCAATAACTCGATTTAGAGTTAGCCAAGTAAATTCCTCCTTATATCTACAGTTGTACGAAAATGTCCAGGTCATAGATCAGAGAACATCCCGGGATCTGAAAATGCACCCCGTCTGTTTGCTCTCTTGTGGAACTCACGTGGAGGAGGGGGGTACAGGGGTGGGGTCAGGGTACAGGTGAAGATAAACAGGTTTACTGAACACAGGCGACACCAGCAGAAGACAAGCACAGACGAGACAGACTGTTTGGCAGACGGAGCTCTGACAGGGAGAGCCGGCACAAACACGAGAAGATGCTACGGGGAACACAGGTGGGGTTTGGACACACCATGTGTAGCCCCCCAGCACGCACACTGACATGTAATAGAAGCCAGGAGAGGGTGGGGGTGGTTAAGCCTGAGATTTATGGGCAGAGAAGAAGCAGCAGATAAAATATGGATGCCAATCATGCAGAAAGCAAGAGGGAGGGGTGGGGGGTGGGGGTGGGGCAATTAGTCTGAGCTGCGGGACAGTCCAGGAGGGTGCATACCACAAATGCCTTCTACTTGGAGCAACAGATAGAATAGAAAAACAGATATACTTTGTGGCAATAAAAGTCTTTTTATGCCATCTGCATTCAAACAGACATGTGTATGCAGAGAGGCCAAAAGAGAGGCGGACTCAAGATGGCGGGGGAGGAGTTGGAGGGGTTAACACTCGGAAGGGGTCAGTCTTTCACACACAACTTTCTAGAGACAGAATAGGGTTCTCGGCACAAGACCAAAAAAAATGGATGATGGCAAGAAAAGATTTTGTTGCCGTTCATTTCCCCTGTGTTGTATCAAAGATGGGGGGAGGGGGGCTGGGGTAATATGATCTCTTTGGAAGTCATGTGGCACAAAAAAGATGAGCACAAACGTGATGAGGAGGAGCAGTGTGATTTTTTTTTTCCAACCACCAAAAGTTCATGCGGCACGAGATGAGGCATAAACGGGAGGAGCGGCTCTATCCTTGCTTGGAGGACGGGTGATGGTGGTGATGGTGAGGATGATGAGGACAGCAAAGGAACAAGAGCAATGACACTGATGGGAAAAATAAATGACACAACCACAGCACAAACCAAATCAAAACCACCCAGTTCCACCCACCCTCCACCCCAAAGAGAAAAAAAACTCACATCTTTAGCAATCCAGCTCATGTTCACATGTGCACCACAGGAGGAAAAAACCCCAAAAACAACGAAAAGGAAACAACAGCATGACGTGCAACTGGTCATACAACTGGAAGCGGGGCAAGGAATGAGGATATGAATTTCTGTGTCAACATGGTGAAATGTACAGTTGATGTGAGTGTGTCTATGTTTCCACCATATGAGGGGAGGGTACCAGGTTCTACTGGTCAAACAAAACTTCCTCTTTTTGAGAATACTTGGGTTTGAGGTTTAAATACTCCACAGCTGTAAAAACGCTGGTTTGAGTGGGAAAACGACTCCTGTTGGGTTAGAGAGGCTTCATATTGAAACATCCAATGGTTGTGACGGTTTAAAGGTCATTAAGGTCCACAGAATGAGCAGAAACGTTACAATTTAAAGACCAAGTTCACTTGTTCTTTTCATTTGCTGTGGTCTCTAGTAAAAACGAATGTCTGTGTATCAATCTCTGTGGGAGCAAAGGCTCTCGCTCTCCTGTTTCAGGAGCTAAAATCAAGCCACATCAGAGTTAAGCTCCAGAAGGCAGCTTTTAGAGACTTATTTCCTGATACTCTGACATCTTGCCTCTGATTGGCTAACTGCAACGTGACTCCGGACATCTTGCCTCTGATTGGCTAACTGCAACATGACTCTACCACTGACTCAATTAGCTCTGCAACGTTGATGTTTTATCTCCGCAAACAACACAAGCCTGGAGAAGTTCTGCTGCGTGGTGGAGTTGCTAATGCTAACAGTTAGCTTCTACTAGTCGAGATGTTCTGTACTGTTTCCTGGATCTGTGAGGCTTTTCAAATCCAAGAGTTTCCCCATCTTCTTTGCATCGACGGCTAATGCGGGAGACAGGTGTAGCAGCCTGCGCGGTGGAGCCCCTGATTATAATTTAAAAATTACAAGTAGAAATGGTTTCTCAGTGGACTTGGCCTTCAGCGTATTTAAATTTGGGTTGTCATGTAGATGTTACCATAACAGGAACTCCATTTGCAGGAAGCACACTGACTCGGGGTGCTACCTAAAATATATTAATATAATAATTGACCCTCTGCTTAACAAGTCATCAAAATAAATAATGAACAAACGTCCACCATTAGAATACCTGGCTTCACCCTGAGATAAACATTTTGTGGTCGCCACCCACACATTAGAGGGGTAAAGTGGACATATGCTAAGTGTTTTAGCTGAGCCGTGTTGGGGCAGATTAGAGCGGCATCAATTAGTCCTCCGTGGTGGTATTTTGAAGGACAGTGGAGCAATCAAATAGCCGGAGCTGTTAATGATTTCCAAAGCGCCTACGGGGAGCAGCTTGTCAAACGCTGAGCCAGTTTTAATACAGCTCACAGTCTCCGGGTTTCCACCGCGTTATTAGGACATGTGCCAGCTGCTCCTGGGCACCAGTGTGACTGACAGCTGCTTGCTCTAAAAGTCATCCAAACCCAAGCTGCCTCAAAAACACTTCTGCTTTAAACTCTCAGGTAGCAGCTCTGGCTTTTGTTTCATTATTTCCAAACTCCACAGAGTGTCTTATCACTTTGATGCAATCACAAAGTGATACCTGTGAGTGTTTGTGTGGCTGCGTGTTTGTGCAGAGGGAGGAGGAAAGAGAAGATGATGTGCACAGAAATTCGAGGATATCTGTTCTCTATTAGAATGTTTCAGGTAAGGCAAGCCTCCGACAAGGAAACAAGAGGTACAAAACAAGAGAAGAAGAAGTAGTAGAAGAAGAAGGGAGGAAAAGGCTCTGTGGCAGTTAGTCTGCTACATATCAGTCTCTGGGCTGAAAGCATCTTTGTTCTCGAAAGAATCTCAAAATGTATCCTCTGTCAAGAGAGACGCACACACGCACAGCAAGAGAAAGTCAACTATGTACAGGACAGATACATTTTGAAGCATCAATGCAGGCGACATGCAGCTTGATACTAATTTCGTACTTTGTTAAGTAAAGTTTTGCTCTCCATCGAGTGCTGAGAGAACAAAATTAGTATCAATGCTTCCTCATGTCTACAACCGGTTTCCCCATAGCTTAGTGTAACTTTAGAGGTCCTGATGACAAACGGTGTGCTTTTATTTACAGGTGAGGCTGTGACCTCCTGGGAAGTGTGCGTAGATACTGATTGTGTCTGTCTCCAAAGAGTTCTTAAAACTCTTGACTTCACACAAGAGTGTGTTTCTAACTAGAAAGGTGGTTACTTTTTAAGTTACACTTGAAGCTGCCATGGGGCATGATGCTAAGAGGAGAAGCTCCTCGGTAGCAAATCAAAGAAAGGTAGGGAGAAATAGACCAGGTTTCAGAGCAAGCACAGCTCGACACACTCATCCCACCTGTGTGTCCGGAGTCGCACTCCTCCAGGTCCTCGTCGTCGCTGGAGCACTCGGCGGACGAAACAATGTCATCTGTCGTCTGTTGAGAAGCACACACACACACACACACACACACGCACGAGGGAACACGGTTAGACCTGAAGTCATTCCACTCAAGGATATCTGTGCACACAGAACCCTCCGCCCGTCCTTCAGCTCAAATATATCACTCTGAGTCAATCATGTTTCACAGTGTTTATCATTCTTTACTTTATGTGCTTTCCACCTCCACAGATAATTGTTTTCCTTCACCCTCCGCGTTCTGCTTCCGATTATTTATCATCCCTCTCCTCCTCCATCGTCCACGATCAATGGACCCACCAAGCCCGTGCTGATCAACAGCTTCCCAGCCCCTGATTTGTGCTCCAGGGTGCTGAAGGCAGGAGAGGATGGGCAGGCAGACTGGCTGGCTACACCTGGGCCAACCATGGATTATCTGCACCCTCCAGTTCCCACAATTCTGATTTATCCCTCCCACCCTCCATCCTTTGGGTCGACCCATGGAGGACAGAAAGGAATGTGTGTGTGTGAGTGGGTTGGGGGTGTGTGTTGTATTTCAGCGGCAGCGCTGGGCAGCCGGCATTTATTAGAATGAATCAGCGGGGCGATAAAATAAGCCCTGTCACCAAGCTGGGTTATGAAATCAGAGTGCTGATTGAGTTTTCCAGTCCTGGCCGGGGGTGTGGAGCTCTAAATATCATTGGGTTTGACAGACTAATGAAACGCGCCCCCGTGCTTGTTCTGCTGCATTCAACAGCCGTCCCCATCCACCATATGCTGAAGCACAACAAGCCAAATGGAGAAAAAGCAGATTTTTCAAAGCATTCTCCTAATGTGCACAATGATTACACACGATGGCCTGTGCTACTTTCTGTATCAGTACATTTGTAAATGTGTTAATGCGTGTTTATGCTCCTTGTGCATAAAGCACCACATTATGTACCGTACTCCAGCCTGAGTGAGAAGACCGAAACAGCCAAGCAAGAGGGCAGGCTCAAAACTAAATTGCTGTGAAATATGGCATCGTGGTAAACATGACATTATTTATTGAAGCCACATTACGAGCGTAAAAGTCTTGGTTATTGCTTGTTATTATGATAGCAGCAGATGTGGGAGGCAGCCTCACGGAGGGAGATGAAACACCACTTCAAAGTCTGTTCCACCAGATTCCGGCCTGAACAAAAGCGCCGCGCTGAGCGCAATCTCTGCTTCTCCTCTTGTCCGTTCATGCTTCAGCCGGTGTCGACATTTCAGCATTTCAGGAAGCGATCAGATGAACTTAATCTCGTGTGAATTCCAGGTTACATGTTTAAAATATGAATAAACCATGGGTGTTTTTTTTAAGTAGTATCATACTCGTGCTTTAATGTAGGAAATGATTTTAAAAGTTAGCTAAATCCGATGATATGAGACATTTTATGTCTGGGTAGACATTTAGTCACATGAATGTCAGATTTGTAGAATGTTCCTGTTAGCAGGTTTGCAAAGAAGAAAGTTAAGCAGCACTATGGACCCAGCCGCTGGATCAGGGGCCCGCTAGGGGAGAACTCCTGAGGACTGGAAGAAAGTCATTTACTCTGATAAATCCCTGTTCTTGAGTGGCGATTTCCTAGGGTGAGGGAATGGACTCACCGGGCCTTGCCACCAGACGTGTGAGTGTCACGTGACATCCGTGGCGCAGAGCACGCAGCAATTAGCCACCGTTATTTCCACCGGCTGCAAAACATCGCATTTGTCCCTGAATCATAGGGAAGCTTTTGGGCCATTCCCATCTGTACCGGGTCGGCCCGGGCCGGGTAGCCCCAGTCGGCCCCAGCCTGGCCCGGTTGATTCCACACATCCTTGCCTTAAGCCCATGTGGGCTGATTCTACCCACCAATCAGAGGCTAGCTCTAATGGAAGGTGTGGATTTGCTGTCAGCAGTGGGTGAGTTGGCCCTGGTCGGCCTGAAGCAGACCCCCTCGAGAAGAGGGCTGAGAATGAGCCTTGGTTGGCCCGGAAAAATACCAGGCCACCCAGATATGTAAACAACCTACGCTACCCGGCCCGGGCTGACCCGGTACAGGTGGGAATGGCCCATTTGAGTCTCCTTAAACAAGCCACACTTCTAGAACTCATCAAGCTCAGCAGTTGAGATCGGGCGAGATGTAAACACAAACCATCGGAAACTTTCAAGACAAAAATCACATCAACAGTTTTCCGCAGATTAACAAGTAAAAAAAAAAAAAGTACACCATCACTGTGAAACCTCGTAGGTAAACAGAACAGATACTAAACCACAGATGTTATTGGATACATGCTGGCATGCTTGTTATTGCGTGAACTGCTGAAATCATGGCTGGTCCTACAAATCACCAGTCACTTCATGACTTTGTGCGATCAACTGCGTGGAACACTTTGACAGTCGTCTCTTGTCTGAAACACTCGGTGGGAAGGAAGCTGGGTGGGTAAAACGTCTGTTACATTACGCAACGCTTACACATCCAGTTGAACGCCGGGGTTGCTCACAGTTTAGCCTCAGAACGCAGACATGAATAAAGAATGGTAGCTAAACATCCTCACAGAGGAACTCCTCCGACTAGCTAAGGACATGCTGGTCGTAAACAAAGTAGGTTACAATGAATGCTGCTCATGTTACCGTCTGAGTTTGTGCTTTAGTGTTTTGGGGTGGTTTTTTTTTATTTTTCTCTCTACCCTGCAGGGAGCAGAGAAGGCATCTTTATTTCTCTCTCGTCCCTCCCCACCCTTGTGCAACCCCTTTTCCCTTATCTGCAAAATGGGAGCACCTTAGGGTTGCATGCTCACAGTTCCTATGATTTTTTGTCTGGTCTTGGAAATAGCTGTACTGAAACTACATCTCGTTGTGCTGGGACGCTGGTTCTTTGACAGTGAACTTCTATTCTATCTACAAATAAGCAGGATTGTGGGGATTTTTCTTCCGCTTGTAGTGTTTAGTCATCCTTAGTTTCAAGATCTTGAGTGTGCTACCCGCTAGCATTAGCGTTAGCCAATCTGCTTGTAGTTTAACTCTTGATCCCAAACTTTGGAGCATTTCAGCCTTGTACAATGGCTTGCGTCTTTGCTGGTTTATCTGTTTCCCTCCATGGCACCTAGACTGCCACATTCTGCACCAATAAAATCTGTTCAGACTGTGGTGCACACATTTAACTAAGCCTTGATTCAGTAAAAAATTTTTTGAGGAATTAAACGAATTGAACCATTTGAGAATTCGTTTCAGCCCTAGAACAATGTCTTTTCTAGAGTGACAGGTAATGGACCTTATTTATAGCGTGCTTTTATATTGTAATTGATTGCTTTAAATGCTTTACATCATGAGTGACACTCACCTACTCATGCACACACTCACATCACCAATTTAACCATCAAGAGGTGGGTGGAAACAAACCTGAAATCCTGACAAACTCCAAAATCTGTCGTAGTGGCCGCACACCATTTTAGATGGGTCTCCATTCGCCGCGGTGCATTCACTTCCATTGAGGAAGTTGCTTACCCAACTAAAAAACACATTTTATCAAGCTTTTTCACAAAATCAGACAAAAGATATGGCATGATAATTAAAGTTAAAGTCCCATTAGTTGTCACACACTAATGTGTGTGCAAAATTTGTTCTCCGCATTTGACCCATCCCCTGGGGGAGCGGTGAGCTGCAGACACAGCTGTGCTCGGGAACTATTTGGTGGTTGAACCCCCCAATCCAACCCCTTAATGCTGAGTGTCAAGCAGGGAGGCATTGGGTCCCATTTTTTCAAAGTCTTTGGTACGACCCGACCAGGAATCGAACCCTGATCTCCCAGTCTCAGGGCGGACACTGTTGGGTATTTTTATAATTGTACCTTTTTGAGGCCTAAAAGATGCCCATTTTGTGTTATTAACACTTCATGAATCTCTGTTTTTGCCAACTGTTGCTGTTCATGAAAGGTTGAGCAAGGATGTTGATTGTGGGTTTCCAACTGAAAACTGTACCTCTGTAACCTGAGAAGGCCCGCCTTCTCCCCCATCCTTTTGCTGAATAAAGCCCCTGGGAAACTGAGGAGACGGGGGAGTGACGGGGGAAAAGCCTCGGAGGAGGTTTTTCCCTGCGTTAACTCTCCATTATTTTGGGGACTCAGGGTAAAATGTCTCCCTTATTGTCATGTGTGTTACTTCAGGTTCCAGGGTTATGGAGATGAAATATTACCACACATGTAATTACTTAACATTTTGGTGGAGAATGCGGGCATGCAGAGCTGGTGACCTGAAGGCTTTCCCCAGGAACAGAGGGGGGCTGGTTAGCTCCATGGAGGGGTTTCTGCGCCCAGCTCTCGCATGACGATTCATGGACATCACAAATAATCTCTCTCTCTCTGTGTGTGTGTCGTCCTTTAAGGTAATATGGGACAAATCTAAAATTACCTATCAGACACTATACCACTAGGCCACTGAGCTGGTAAATATTAGTAAACAAAATAAATAAAAATTCTACCAGTTAGGCTAGAAAAGTCAATAGTAATACCATGTGATCTGTTTTCGACAGTACATCGGGTGTCGCAACTGTACACTGTAAGGCTGCACAAAAACAGGCATAGTTGCTCACCCTGCATTGACTTTGGAGAGTGAGGAGACCCATCCAATGTGGAGATGACACTGTTACACTCTCCAGTGCCCAATGGCGTGTCTACATATTCATGTCTATACTTCAGACAGCAGGTTTTCTGATATTTGGACATCTCGCCTCAGATTGGATAACAACAACTCTGCCACTGACTTGTAACGTGGAATGTTTTATCTCCAAAAATTACACAAGCTTGGAGTGTGGTGGAGTTGCTAATGCTAACAGTGAGCTGTTTCCTGGATGCTAAAACAACAACAGCCTTCCCCGTCACGAGTCAAGATGGGCGGGTCCATGAATGTTAAGTGACAGCATACCGTAAATCTATTGAAATTTTCTAATTCTAGCTTTTCACTATTTTCTATCTGAAGCTAATGCTGGAGATAGGTGTAGGAGACTATTTTCATGTTCAGCCTGCATGAAAAACTCAG